TATCGTTATAATTTTAGACTAAATATTTTTATATTTATATCATAATCTATAAATATTTCAGAATAATTCGAAAGAGATGAATCGAACCAACGACAAAAATACTTTATGATTTGAAATGAAACACGCGTCCGCATTGCGCATTTGCAACGTGATATTTTCTAAAATTTGAATATTCCGCCCCAAAATGAATAAATTTTGCGATCAACACAGTGTTAATGATCACAGTGATTTTAAGGGAGGCAGTTCCCCTTGACCTTGACCTTATACTGTCAAGGACTGTTTTCGTAACTTTCAAGATGGTTTCAGCCATCGTTCGTCATTCCTTAAAAAAGTTATTCATTATAGCGAATATTTTCAACTACTTGCTCATCTCAAGAGCAAGAACGTTCCGATTCCATTGGAATAAGTTCTGATCAAATTGTCAATTTGAATGTTTCGCCATGTTGTCCGTTTCTCAGAAACGAAATCTTCGAAGTAGAGTATTATTCCTTATGAATTATTTTTACTATGGAAATCGGGAAATTTCCAATGATGTTATATCTTTTGTTATTATACATAGAACTGACAGATATGCTGCTTACTGCGCAAGCTGCGATCTTCTTCATTGGAGGATTCGAAACTTCTTCCTCGACGATAGCACATGCGCTCTACGAGTTGGCACAGAACCAAGAAGTACAAGAGAAATTACGAGAGGAAATTAGGGACGTTTACAGCAAAAATAACGGAGCTTTGACATACGCAGATATCAAAGGAATGAAGTACTTGGACAAGGTGTTCAAAGGTGCGAAACTAAAAAGATACTGACTGTTCGAATATCGCGATATTAATCCTCATTTAATCTATGTGTCAATTTGATATGCATATTTTAAAATGTTACATTTAATTTCAATTATAACAAAGAAATTTAATTAAATAGAAAATAACACATTAAAAAGAAAAATTAAGTTCACATTTCAATTCAGAATTTCAAAAAAATAGCTATTTTTGTTCACGGTTTCGCGAATGGCCGAGGAGGCCTGAAGAGGTTAAACTTCAAGTTTACTGTTATTGTTATTCGAAATTAAAAATTTAGAATGGTGTCGTTTTATGTATCCTCTTCTTGCAGAAACGCTGAGAAAGTATCCAGTACTACCCATGCTAAATAGGCAAGTGGTCGAGAATTACACGTTCAAAGGAACGAAGTTTACCATACCGGCAGGGACGAAATTGTTAATACCCGTGTATGGAATTCAGAACGATCCGGATATTTATCCGGAACCGAAGAAATTCGATCCGGAAAGATTCGAAGAGGATGCTGTCGCAGCCAGACACTCTATGAGCTTTTTGGCTTTCGGTGATGGGCCAAGAAACTGCGTCGGTAATGTCACTTTCTACTGTTGGAAAATTTGGCACGAAAATTACAGGAAAATGTCGTACATTCGATATCTAATTGAATTCCGGATATTTATAATGTTCATAATGTTTCTGGAAAATTGATTTACATTACTTGTTACGACATACAAAATTATACGAGAATCGCATTTGCTTAATTTAAATAAAAATTAAAATATTTCTAATGTTACGATGACAACACTTGTTTTTCACTGGTTTCTCAATTGGCACTGGCTCTAGTGTTAGGAATTTGATTCAAGATGTTTGAGATAAATTTCCTTCTGCAAATGGAAATTTATAGTTTTTATACGATTATTTTCTCTTTTTTTTTTTCAGGTGCCCGTTTTGCACATTATCAAAGCAAGGTCGCACTTGCAACCATTCTCGGCAACTATAAAGTCGATGTCTGCGAGAAAACCACGATTCCATTTGAATCAGAGAAGGCTGTCCCTTTCTTAACGGTCAAAGGAGGAGTGCGCTTAAAAATCTCTAAGGCGTAAAATGATTGCAAACAATTATTAAACATGATCGTATTTTATTATTAAACATTCGTACACCGAAACAAAATATTAAAACTATGTCATTTTGGAGGAATTGTGTGCAACTGAAATTTGACTAGTATTATAAATTATAAAATTATGAAATTATTGTTGGAGAATTACAAAATCATTGTCACTAGAAACACGTATTTGTCATGTAATATGTATTTCTAGTCACAATACAATGATTTTATAGCAATGATTTAATATACCATAGATGCGCTATGACAATCATGCGACATGAATCAATTGTTTTTTTTTTTTATTATTTTATTTTATACCATATTATTTAGACTATAATTAAACTTAATTTATATCATTTATACTATATTTTACTTTGTTACGTTATATTATATTACATTATATTACGTTATATTATATTCTGTTTTACTATATCCATATTATACTACTGTAAATAAATACAATACAAATTTTAACCTACGTGGTTTGAAATAAATACAAATAAAATTTATTAGTTTAGGAATTAAAGAATACTGAAGAGTCCAAATACGGCGATGACAAAAAATATTAAGACTCTCACGCTATCACGACTTGTTTACTCGCTATAATATTCTCTAGATCTATATACTCTAGATCTATATACTTTTTTTTTTAATTTCGACAATCGCATCGAACAGGCAACAGGTGACTAGGCTTCTCTCTTATGGCGCAACGAAAGAATTACCGAGCAATTTTCAAGATTTCCTCACCCCACATTTTTGTTATACTTATTCTGAATATCATTCACTTCAGAGTTCACCTTCCGACGACATATTATATTTTGATTAAGTATAAAACGCATATCGATATTTTCAAGTATAAGAAAGAAAAAGCGGAATCCTTTTGACTTGGTACCGATATCAAATCGAAATTCATAGTGTTGATAAAAATCCATACCAGAAGCAATTAGCTTACACGACAAGCAAATTTTTGTATCTATTCCGGTTTATGATAATCTACTCAAACGTCTACTTTATGAAACAGATAAAAACGAAATATATGTCATTTACATGAGTGGATATGACTACCAACATATGCAAAAGAAGCAATAAGTAAAAGACTGATTACGTATTAAAATATGCTTTTACATAAATAAATTTTGTACGAAAAATACTAAAGTGATAGAAAATTTTTCCACTTTCTCTGTAACAAATACATCTTATATTGAATATTATCGGCCAATTTATTAAAAGACTTCACAACGGAAGCTGAAGAGTCTTTGAAAATCTAGAATGTAAGCAAACGAAACTTAAAAGGTTACATTCTACAAACTTATTCATGTTACCTTGTAAATTATATCGATTCATTTTTTCATATATTTCATATTCGTAAAAAAGAATAGTACCCTTATTATAAATGTTCATTATCTTTTAAGTAATATCAATCATTATTATTCCATGATAATATTTCACACGATAGAATATTAATAATAAGGAAATACAATATAAAAGTTAACTCGTTCAAAAAGCACTTTGTGTAATTTAAGGCACTAAGTAGAAGATCTGTAAGTGGAACTTTTTGTAGCGACGTATCGGTAAGTAATGGAAAAGAAAAGAAAGAAAAATAATAAAATTACGTCAGACCGCAATGAGTTTCGAGAAAAATATAATACCGCCGACACGTTATTGTTAACTAGAAATATGAAAAGAATTGTTTTATTTAAACGTGTAAAATAATTATTTCGCGAATAAATTATTCGCCGTTTACTGTGAAGAAATATGTCCGTATTTAATACATTCTTCTTCCTTTACTTGAGAAATGTGGAAGAGATTTTTCCGCGTACATTACGATAAATTACAATGATCGTAGTATAATTTATGAAGAAAAACTTGCCAACAAATGACAGTCCATTCTGTTTCGAAGTCCTCGCGAGATCTATCGTTCTTTTTTATTACAATTTCCGTTATACCTACGACATAGCAGAGTAATTAAAAATGGCTCGATCGAAATTCGCGAGAGACCGATCCGAGAAGTAGTTTGCCATTTCGACAATTATCTTTCAACTATCATGAATAAAAAAAACTTGTACAAGAACGACACTCTCTGTATATCTCGTTAGTAACTTCTGATTTCGAATCAATGCTTTAAAAGAGAAACCTCACCGACAACAACAAAGGCCACTGCTAACGTAGAACAATGGAAAATTTTGATGAGACGAATAATGAATTTTTTCAGGAGAGGGAAAAAAATCTACCTTCGAAATTTCGAATCGTTGTTGAAGCAATTATGGGCTACTTCGAGATCTTATGCGGCGTCATCGCATTGCTTCTGGCCTTTTACTATTACTTCACGTCAGTCTTTAGTTTCTGGAAACGCCTTGGAGTGGCAACACCAAAACCGACCTTTTTCATCAAGAATATATTTAACATCTACATTACACGACTTCCACTTCCAATATACTTGCAACGTTTTTACGAAAAGTACAAAAACGAGCAAACATTTGGATTCTATCTGGGAAGATCGGCAATTCTTGTCCTGAGAGATCCGGAACTGATCAAGGATGTTTTCATCAAGGATTTCTCAACATTCGCTGACCGAGGATTCATCGTTCACGAAAGAGTACGTCACGTTGCGTTTTCAAATTAAGTAATTATGATGTTAATTACAGCTGCACAGTACGTACATCTATTTTATCATACGAGGAAACATTACCTTCTACTATTTGAATTAAAGTTTCAGCAAAAGCTAAGTAAATCGACGATAGTTTTGAATGTTTTAGTAACACAGCGAAGTAGAAGTTAAAAATTTGGAAGATTCAAAGAAGATTGCCCACAGTAAAATTGATAATGCTGCTAGTATGGAAAATTGTGATTTTTCGAAGTTTATTACGTTATTAATAATTGGGTAATTGTGTAAACAATTCGATAATATTTTTAGATAATGTTCAATTTAATGTTTAATTAAATCATAGAAGTTCGAGCTTTGTTTATTCAAATCTTTTATTTGCTAAATTCCCACGCATTCATCTTGCAACCAATAGTTTCATCGCAAAGCTAGAGGTGCAAATAGATTTTCAGATTTCCTAATGAAAGATTTCCTAATTTCATCCTTCACGGGCAGTCTTGTTCTTCTTTTGTTTCGTTTTTTAAAGAAGAAAAATATTTCGTTGGCCCTTGAATTGAATTGATATCGTAAACTGTTCGCCCAGACAGAGCCATTGACGATGAACCTTTTAAACTTGGATGTAAAAAGATGGCGTCCGCTGAGGACGCAGCTCACTCCGATGTTCACATCTGGCAAACTGAAGGGCATGTTCCGGCTGATCCTAGAGTGTGCAGATCATCTCGAGAAACACTTGGACAAATTGGCCGCGAATGACGAACCCGTCGACATTCACGACGTTGCAACGAAATACACGATCAAGGTGATTGGTTCCTGTGGCTTTTCGATCGACATAAACTCATTGTCGGACGAAAACGAGTTTTATAAAATCGGCAAGGAATACTTCAGCGTATGCCTGGAGAACGTGATACGATTAAAATTACGATTATACGCGTCGAAACTATACGATTTGCTGGGCTATGTTTTCCCTGAAAATTACTATACTTCGTTCTTCACCAAGCTGGTGACCGAAATGATGAGATACAAGAAAGAGCATGGTGTATACAGGCCCGATTTCATCCAAATGCTTATGAACATGAAAGAGCACCCAGAAAAACTGCGTGACATTGGTAAGTTCAGACTAAATCATATTTTGCATTATTGCAAAGTAGAATTTGGATATTTTATGTATATATGCATTATAACATCTTCCAATATACAGGGTGGCCACTGAAAGACTGAATGATATTAAACAAAAATAACTTTTACAAACATGTGTTTCTTTAATTTTTTATTATTTTATTTGGAAATATAATTAATGGATTTTTTTTTCAGTATTATATATGAAAAACAATATTCTTCAAATGACCAACATTTTGAAAACGAACAGGTTATGACTTTTTCAAACTCTTCAGTTTTTTTCAGTGACCACCCTGTTTTTATATGTTCCAATTTAAATGGATATAAATCCGTAGTCCAATCATGCTATAGTAGACGGCAATTTAAAGTATGAAGCAATTTTGTTTGAGTCAACAGCTTATTTATGATGAAGAAATGAAACATTAGAATAAACTGGGAGTAATTTCTCCCAGTATTACATTATGCTCCATGCGAGGAAACTCACAATAAAAATATGAAACGTCGTTATCGTGACGTTAATATTTAACATTAAATAGAATATTAATAAAAGAGGACTTATATGAATTTATATTTCCGAAACGCACACTGAGGATTTCTACGAACATAAAAGCACTTGGGGAAAGTAGAAGAAAAAGAATTTCACCTGTACCTCTGCAATTCTGTAATTCCTAAGTTAATTTAATAAAATTTACATATGAAGGAAGTATACCAATTCTAAGTCCTTCTAAGATCTCTCAAAGTTCAGTAACCGAAATCTTGCAAATTGAAGCACGACAGGTGGTCTTTGAAAAATATTAAATGTATCAGATATATTAAATGATGCAGGAATTATTTTGATACTTACAACAGTTTGAAAAAAACTACTGATCTTTAACCCTGTATTTGTAGAGTGCAGATAATTGACTTATATGTTACAATGTATTGAACGAATACAACAAAAATTATATGTTTAAAGACGAATACATATTCATACATATTCATATTCAGTTTGTTATAAATCAATGGTATACCAAGTTACAGCAAAATATAAAATTATGAAATTATCATCTCAGTAAAACGAGATGATTGATGTGCACTCATTCAATGTATCTCTCACAGGATATAAGAAGTGCATATTTACATTGCCTTTACATGTATGTATTCAGACAATATAGTAAGACAGATACAAAAAAGACAGTATATTTAACTGAAATATTAAAACGCAATGAATACAAAATTAATACAAAATTGATACAAGTAAGAATATGAGAACATACGTAGACTAACAATAAGAATATTTCGCTTCTCAGTATAACGATTTAATCTGTTTGTCAATTAATTCATATCTTACAGAATTGACAGACACCTTGTTAACTGCTCAAACTTTCATTTTCTTCGTTGCTGGTTTCGAAACCTCGGCGTCCACGATAAGCAACGCTCTCTACGAACTCGCCCTGAATCAGGACATGCAAGACAAGTTGCGCGAAGAGATTAAAGAACATTATGCGAAATATAATGGAGAGTTGAAATATGAACATGTCGAAGGCATGAAATACTTGAACAAAGTATTTAAAGGTAACTTCATTTTGAGGTGGAGAGTAATCACGTAGGACAAATTATAATGGAAGATTTATTTCCGCAGAGACGTTAAGAAAATACCCAATAGCTGGTGTAGCGACAAGAAGAGCTGCTTGTACTTACACCTTCAGAGACACAAAAATTACTATACCGAAGCGTTTACTTGTACTTATTCCCATATACGCCATACACCATGATCCCCGTATTTATCCAAATCCCGACGTATTCAATCCGGAGAATTTCAGCAAGGAAGCTGTTGAAGCACGGCATCCGATGAATTTTTTGCCATTTGGAAGTGGACCAAGAAATTGCATCGGTAAACGTTCGGTCATACAGCTAATAATTATTTTTGATAGATTTTTGATTCTGATTACGAATGCAGAAACTACTTGTATCAGTCATTCTTGGCTTTATGAAAGGTGTAATTTTGAGAAACAGAAAATTTTCAATCATTTTCACCAGTTTTGGTGCAATTTTTGCTTGCTCTTAGACACAGGTTTATAATTCATCTATAAAATATTCTTATCAGTTCGAGATAGAATGAGCTATTAAACAAGTTTGGGAAACATCATAAACCATTCAGAGTATAATAGGATGTAAGATCTTCATGAGTTAGTCTTGAAAGGTTCATTTAGAGCACCTGTAATGTCCCAGTATTTTACATCTGAGATTTATAGTAAATTCAAATACCTAACAAAAAAAGATAACACTCGAACAGTATCGTAGAACATTAGTATTTTTATTAAAGCGACCTGATTCTGTTTCAATTGTCAGTTGAAAATTTACATCATTTTTATTTCTAGGTAAACGTTTCGCTGTGTTTCAAACCAAAGTGGGCCTAATCACGACTCTTCGCAATTATAAGGTGAACGTCTGCGACAAAACTATGATCCCCTATGAGTACAATGCGGATACATTTCTGCTTACTGCAAAAAGAGAAATATACCTGAAGTTAACGAAATTGGAGACATAAATCTGGAATTTGTCTGAGCGACAAATTATTCTCCTTCTGAATATCATGTATAATAAATAACTATTGATGTCAGTAAATTGTGTTATAGTATGAATAGTTTTAGGATTTTTTTTTTTAATAATAGCGAGAATGACTTTTATTAGACATTTAATTCTATTCGTTAAAATATTTCTGGTTATAATATCTGACGCATTTGAAATTTCCATTGGATCGTTTAGCAGAGTTCTTTACCACGACAAAATGTTAGAATTTCTTGAATCTTTGTCACTTACTTTCTAGTGTTTAAGGTACAATGATATCGCAAAGAAGAAAAAGAAAAATCATGTAAAATGTTTTAAACAGTCGTTTAAAGGAGAAACTTCAAAATCATGGTATATCTAGCGATGAAAAAATTGTTTCAGCAATTTTAGAGATGCTTTTAGGAATTTTACAACTTTTAAAAATATCCCTTCCTACCTGTTACATGACCTAGAAATATCTACGAAAGAAACAAAAGCTTAAGACTGTCAGAGCAGAAGTTTCAAGATTTTTTTCACTTACAATAGTTTAAAAGACCGAGAATTTTTTATCGAGCACGTGAATAGTTCCATTTTACATGTTAGTATAATTGTACATTTGAATACGCATTTAACTAATAAATATTAAAGTAGCAATTTATAATTCATAAATATTAACTAGCACTGAAAGACAAACGTCAGTTTATTAAAATTAACCAGGCAAGGATCAACATATGTGGCGCTACTTTTTAACGTTGAAATCATGAGTAAAATTTCAAAATATCGCTTGATATATTTTTATCATCGAACCGAAATTCAACTAACACCGTAAAACATCAATGACCTTAAAAAGTCCTTGAAAAAATGACCTTGAAAGAATATTCCTACCAATTATTGGACTTTCATGTTAGCCAAAAAATATTTTTTGCATCATCACAATTCGAAAAGATATTTGGATGTTCCACTCAAGTGAACCATCCTATATATTCGCTCTAACATTGATATAGCTGTGCGACATACATCGGCCTTTTGTTGCAATCAATAATTATTTTATCTTATAATATTACATTGTAGTCTATTTTGTTACGTTATATTACATTATACTTTCTTTTATTATAGCCATACTATATTATAATATATTTGTATATTTCACTTATTATACTGTAGTATTTGTTCCGAAAATCATCAACTTCTGAGTTCACTTTTCTTTTTCTTATATATAATATCTTTTTATATATATATAATATTGTCGTTAAGAATAAAATGCGACAATCGAAATTTTCGAGCATACCAGAAAAAAGACTGGAGTCTTTCAGACTTGATATCAGAATCGATACCAAATCGAAATTCGTGGCGAACTATGGATAATATCTTGGCCACTATCATTTGCAGCAGCTAAGTCCTGTACGAAATATCAGCTGGCAACAAACCACAAATTCATCAGTTCGGACTGAAAATTGCCGATCAACTTGAAAGATTTTACGAATCCTTAAATTCCAGAAATGAAATTTCAATTTTCAATAATTTACTGAGATTGGTGGGAAGACTCAAATTTACATTATAAAAATTTACTAAAACTTAGTAAAAAGACGTCAACGATGCGTTTTGCGCCAGTATTTTCTCGTATGCTTCATATTCATAACTGATAATAATTTTAGTCTAATAACTTTATTATAAATGTTAATTATCTTTCAAGAAACGGCACACATCCCTATCTTATATTAATATTTTTTAAAGCAGTATTAATAATCTAACAAACAGAGCACGTAGTGAACTTGTTGAGAGAGCATCCCGTCGCAACTGTAAGTGGAACTTATTTTTAAATATTTCTACGCGACGTGCAAGTAACGGAGAAGAATAATAAAATTGCATCAGACCTCAATGAGTTGGAAAAAAGGAAATATCGCAGACATAGTATAATTAACTAAAAAAGATTTGTTTTACCTAAACGTGTAAAATAATTATCTCACGAATGAACTATTCACCTTTTACTAAAGATATCTGTAAAGAGGAACGTTGAAAGAGTGTATTCGTATTCAATAAATTTTAATAGATCTGTAGTTGAATTATAGCCACTTGTTCCCAATGCTTAATTGATACAGCCGACGAAATTGTTACAAGGAAAAAGACAAATCACACGTAACAGCATGAAACGCAATTAGAATAATTCGGAAAAATACTTGACATTTTTTTGAAATTACATCGAGGGAGCACAGTTCGCGCCGCGTGGCACTAAAATATTTAAAATTGTTCCAGTACAAAGAGATCTCACAGCTTCTTTAGATATCTTTCACGGTGTATGTTACAACAAAGTACAAAGATCCTAGTACAGTGTATAAAGAAAAAATAAGTTAACTGTCAATGTTTTCGAGATGCTCGCGAGATGCATCGCCCTTCTTTTCGTAACATTTTCTCTTGTCCGTACGATACAACAGAGTGATTAAAAATGACTGAAGAAGAGAGAAGTTCGCCATTTAGATATTTATCTTCAGACTACTATGAATACATAAGAAAAACGATTCTCTCTGTACATTCTCCGTGATTTCTACCGCAAAGGTAGACGTCCAAAGGAAAACGTTAAAAAGAAAACGTCACCGATCGTGACAGGGTCCATTATAGTGAATTAAATGCACATATGTCAACTGTCATTTAAATGCACATACGTCAACTGTCACTTAAATACACATACATCAACTTTCATACGGATTAAATTTCAGCAGTTTTTTGGTCTACAGTTTCCGATAAATCTGTTACCGAGAGTACTGGCCACCAGATTTTCGGAACAGCACGCGTGTGAGCTGATCCGCTGCGTTGTACAAAAGGTGAGTACACTGTACGCACAGTTATCCACGGAAATCTTCCAACGAAATGTACGAAATTAGAAAAACAAAATTTATTATTGCTCGCTGTAAAATTACGGAGACATTACATGGTACTGAGTGAACTCGATTGTTTCGAAAAATGTTGCATGGAAATTTATTCTTTCTTTTTCGACTTTCTGACTATGGAAACAATCGCTACACCACTGAGACATAAATTCTTACGTGAAACGCTTAGTTTTCTCTCGAATATTCATACTTCGTATTCATATTCTTTCGCGTAAAAATCACATTAAACAATTGGAACTATATAAATGAAAATAAAAACCAGGTTAGAATTAACAATCCGCGAAATTTACGGGCTGCACGCATTTCAGGGCAATGTGTCAAGCAATTTCAATCAAGCGTTGATCATTCGATAAATACTTGATTTGCAAATATAAAAAGTTGAATGTTTCTTAAAGGTAATAAAGAAAGAAGGAATGTTAATAATCAATTCAAATATTTTCTGAGTAGTTGTAATAATAACGTGAAGGAAATTTTCTGAATGCTTATCAATTTCCATAATTTATCTATGAAATTTCAATTGTAATAAATACAGTGGAATTCCATTCATTCAGATCATCACAGAATTCGGATAATACAGATTCTATTCTTTTCAGCATTCTTTTTTTTTTTTTTTTTAATAATAGAAGAAAGTAGACAAGGATAAAAGAATCACTTACGAGATCATATGTTTGACATATTAATGACGCATAAAAGAGATTTCACCTTAGTTCTATTTAATTGTTGCAATTAATATCTAATATAATTAAATTGCGTAGAACTATGAATCCATAGATAGATCTTTTTTTATTAGACGTATCGCACAATAGCGATGCAAATGAAACATATCACGATAAACAAAATGTCAATTTCTTCTATGATAAAGAGAAACTTGGAAGGCTCATAAAAATTCTTTTGTACTTTTTTGTTTTGAAAATTTTGTGAAACTTTCAGTCGACGAGAAAACAACATTGTCGTTGTAATAATATCACTGTGACATAATTGAAATATAATTGAATTATAAGCAAGTAATTCTGTCAAGTATATAAACAAACATTTGCACATATCACTTTTACTGACAAGTGATTTACACTGATTGTATTTTGAAATCACTAATTAGTCCTCTATCCTTATTTTACAATGAAAAGAAACTTGAAATAAAATATCGTATTTTATTATACTTTAAATTATATTCTATTATATTTTAATACTATATGAAATTACTTAATAAAACTTAGAAAATTCTATAACAGGAATTTTGCATTTTTTTCAGCAAGTTTGTTTAAATCATCGCAGCACTTAATAAAAAGGGCCACGATGGCCTTCCTTGAATTTCTGTGCGCTGTCACCGCGTTACTTCTGACTTTCTGCTACTATTCGACATCAGCGTTCAGTTTTTGGAAGAATCGCGGAATCCCGGGACCGAAGCCGGTTTTCTTCTTTGGCAACAGCATGGATATCTTATTCTCGCGAATTACAACGGCGGAATATCTGCACAAAATGTACCAGGAATACAAAAACAAGTCGATGTTCGGGGTATACATGAGAAGATCGGCAATTCTAGTTCTAAAAGATCCGAAACTAATCAAGGATGTTCTGATCAGTGATTTCTCCAAGTTCTCCGACCGAGGATTTATCGTATACGAAAGGGTACGTCACGTTGCATTACCAAATCGTAAATTAATTTCATCCGTTTCTTACTTTTATCCTACTGTCCTGTCAATTTCCAAATTGCATTAATATAATACAATTGTTCCCTCTCCATATTTTATTAGTTTATAGTTTGCATTATAAGTACATTTTGTTAGAATAATTCGAAATGGTTGACATCTACTATTTAATTGTATACGTTTCTAAGTTGTAAATTAATCTCATCTATTTATTAATTTTTCTTCCCTGTCCTGACAATTTTTAAATTGTATTAATACAAAAAATACAGGTTTGATCTTAGGTCTCAAACGTGCCTTGTCCCTTCAAATCTCTAAACTGTTGCACACTAATTACAGACAGAGCCGCTGTCAATGCAGATTATCAGCCTGGATCCAGAAAGATGGCGCCCGCTGAGAACACACCTTCACCCCTTGTTCT